CAGCGACGGAAATGTGACCCTGACGGTGGACTTAAAGGGCGGCTTGAAGAGGAGTGGTGGTCAGGGAGACACGTTGACGGGAAGTATTGCCACGTTCTTGGGCTGGAGGGCGGCGTACCTTGATGATCTCTGGGATCATGGTAATCCGCTTAAGAAGGAAGAGTTGATGGGTTTGGCTGTCTTTGGTGGAGCTGCCATTACGAGGGTTAGTTATGCTATGCCTTCTTCCTTGCTTGCTTGCGGGTTCTGGTCACTTGTTGTGGCCTTTATCCCCATCTAACACTCAGCTACGATGCCTATTCATGAGAGTATTACGCTAACATCCATATCTAGGAATGCTCTCGTCTGGCGTTTGCCAAGAAGGGCCGCAGTCTTCAAGCAAGCGATCTCACAGACGAAGTACACACGGCATTTTTGAACTTATTTGGCGAGGTGGATGCGAAGCTCTAGATGGGTTTAAGTTTTCGGTTTAATATCTAGGCGTCCTTGTTGCGATCCAGACATCAAGACATAGGTCGTTTCGGACAAGGTCTTCTAACTGCTACGAGATGATGAATGGTACATACAAAAGTTACAACTGCCTAAGTGGTGGCAACCGCGGCTCTTCAACAATACCTTTCCTAGAGCAAGTGACTACCCCTGAACTTGACATGGCTTCACATTGCATGGTGGCTTGTGGCTTATACCTAGCTAAAATACACTCCGTTACCCGCGTGTATGTATAAGAGCCAACGATGGACAGTGATTGGTGGTTATGGCCGTGCTGTGAAGAGAAAAAAACAAAAACACGGGGACAAAGAAAAAAAGCAAAAGTCCCCGTAAACTCTCGGGATAGGGGCAATTCCACCCACTTCTTCACTTTGCAGCTGCTTGTGTGATGTATCCCGGGTGCCGCGATACACTTAATCGAAGGCTACGCGCAGCGGTTTGGCTTGGAGTTATTGCTTCTTGCTTTCCAGATTTCGTATCTGGCATTGCCTTTATTTACCATTCAATGGGACTTCTTGTCAGATATCCATACCAGGGACATTAATCTCATTACAGATAATGCGTGTGCCCGAGGGCAAGAGGGGAAAAAGACACAGAATCAAAAGCATCGTGTGGGGGGGCAAGAGACGACGCCAAACGACACTGAACGGGGAGACGACGTCAACATCACTCACTGAACGGCATAACCTCACCTACGGCTATGAGCTGATAGCTCGCCACAAAGATTCTAACCCATCCGGTTCATCCAGTTCCTGCATCTTGTGTTACACCCGTCCTCTACCGTGACCCAGCAACCGTCGTTTCCCGCTTCCCGTCCCTCCCTCCCCAGTCTCCCCTCGTCTCCTCGCCTCGCCTCGATAACCCACAGGTCAAGTCAAGTGTGCAGGTGCAGGAACTAGGAGGAGGTGCAGCCAGCCTCAAAAGTCACATTACATACCTTACCTATCCGTCTCCGGTGAGATGAGAGCAGCCAAAGGTAAGGGCGGGTAAGAGTAAAAAAGAGTGCTAATGGGTTAAGCGCTTCCTGCGGGTATCCATAACCCACCATTGCTTCCGCACCCTACAACACTGCATCATCCCGTATATTCACTACTTCTACTGGTACATACTAACCCGCTGCTGTGGCTCGGCTGGGAAATCGAAGGCTGTCACCGACTGCTGTCAACCAACTCTTCATGCGGCCGGGGTGATGGGCAAGATGGGTAAGCAGGAACCGGAACGGATGCTTTTTTTTGGGGGGGTGGTTTTGGATGAGTGGACTGGGCTCATATGCTTGAGTCGAGACTCCGGGGCTTGAAATCAGGACTTTATACCTTAATAGGGGTTTGGTCCACGGCTGGCAGTTACGGTACAGTAGAGGAAAGGAGTGTACCTTCATAGCTAGATCGCGTCATATTTGACTACCTTGTAGTTGCGAGGAAACCAGCGCAACTGAAAGTAAGTAAGATGAAGAGGTATAACGGACCGCTTACCCTACTAGTATCGGGCGAGAGCGGAGAGAACATTGAGGGTGATGGAAGGGAGGCCAATACCTTACCTACAGTGATGGCTTGAAAGGAAAGGGGACAAAAGAAAACAAAAAGGAGAAGGAAAGAAAGAGAAAAAAAAAAAACTCCTCCGACCCGAACAAAGCAAGTCTGTCAAGTCACCAACTAACTACCTATGAACGAGAAAGAGACCCGTAACTTGAAGAGAGACAAATGACGGTTGGTCTCTTGGGTGACGACATCAGGGGCAGGGGCAGATAGAGAGATAGAGAACGGGACGGAATAGTCAGGAGAAACTCTTTGAAAGGTTGAACGTCGATCATTCAGTCGGAAAAGAAGGCTGAATACATACATCGGCCCCCCCCCCCCCCCCCCGCCGAAGTGGCCAACAGGTTGAATCTTTTCGCCCGGTTAAGGTTTGTACCATACCCAGGCATTGTACCTATATTGTATGCAAGTATGCTGGTTCGTCTTTCGAGACCCTGAAAGGTCTGTCCCATCGTGAGTCCGAGGCTTGCACTCATATGAGTTATTTGATTGTGAGATCCCAGGATTCGGAACTACTATCTATGCCCGGGTCCAGCGATGCAGAGACGCTTTGTAGCTAGGATGTTGTCGAGTCCCCGGGGCCTCAATGGCTCTTGGGATATGGGTAGAGGTAGGTAGGTAGTCCTCCTAACATTTCTTCAACGAGACAACTAACCAACCCATCAAGTTTACACTCTCTTTCGTTCTGATGTTATCGCATTGGTGCGAAGTCTGCTTTCTTGGGTCATACAGATGCTGCAATACCTACCTAGGTATGTTGTAGCTGAAGCAGCTATATGCGAACGAGAAGGCAAAACAAAGCAAAGCAACGCAAAGCAAAGCAAAGCAAAGTAAAGCATATGTAAGGTCAAACTCAGCGAGCACTGCATAGTACCTGAATCCTGTCCTGTCTACAAGTAAGGCAAGGTAAGGTAACCGTGGTCCAGCATCGGCTCCTACCTGCTCCTGCATGCTACATACATATATCGTGCCCCTGGGGCTGTTACATGAAAGGTTGTCCGTCTGTCGTACCGTACCGGCCGGTTGCCAGTACATACCTGTCTTCTTGTCTGCCTATCAACCTACATACCACCGACCATCCATGAGGGCTTACCTAGACATGGTCCCATGGGGCGTTCTTCTTGATCTAGGTGTGTGGTACCTTACTGCGTACCTACCTCTACTCTCCTCGACAGCCAACGGACGTGCCTAGAACGTAACGGTACTGGTCGAGATCATCTATCCTGCTGGGGCATGCTTACAGACAGACCCTGTTGATGCCAAAAACGAAAGCCGAGACAACGAAGATTGGATCCCTCGTTTACAAAGCTTCTATAGGCCAGTATCACTGTCTAGGACAGTACTGCAAAGTGTCTCCCGCTTCTAGAGGCAAACTGGTCGATGAAGTTGATGGTTTGGGGGTCCCTTCGGTTTTGTTTCGCCTTCTTACCTTTAGTCCTGGAATGAAAGGCCTCGATCGTTCACGGTATACCTAGGGCCATCAGATGAACTACATCCAGGCCACTTGTTCGCCGAAAGGGCGACTCCCACTCCTACTCTCACTCCCGCTCACACACTGACAGGCAGGCAGGAACGCATAACGATCGTGCCACAAAGGCCAAAGGGGCCGTGGGGTTGAATACATGTACATATGCTGGGTTTGGTTTGACACCTTGACCTAGTCGTACCCGACCTACCTAGTGTTCCTCGTCCTTCATCCTGGTGTCGCCATGGGTCGAGAACTCGAGGGCCCCGGTTTGTATTTTTGGTTACACACCGGGTTACACGACTATCTCGACAGAAATGAGCGAAGGAGCTATGGCCGAGACCTGATGATCGAGTGTTCCAGGTGGGTCTTAAAAAAACGAGGAGTGTGAGTCTGGCGGACAAGTCAGAAGCCTGGTGAGGAAAGACACTGAGGGAAGTCCTGCCTTGCCGGAGACCTGAGAATATCACGCCAGGTGTGTCTCTCTGGGAAACGGAGGACGATGGGGTGTGATGCAATCCGGGTTTCTTCCAGCCAAGTTTACCAAGGCGGCACCGGATGTGGCTCAGTGCCGTGATGTGATGGTGAGTGTGGTATCGAGCTTGTCAAAATGCATGAGCTGGGGAGCGAGGCAAATCCGAAATCCCATGTCATGCCCCGCTCCTGGACCTGGTAGCTGGTAGTGATAACATACACAGTACGCTCACAATGCGGGAGAGCGAAACTGATTGATCGGGACAGCCAGGGTGTTCACCAACAAGCTCCCGTCGAGCTGTCCTATCAGAAAGGTGATGGACGAGGAGCTCAAGGATGAGAGGGGAGAGGGCGCCCGCCAAACGGGCAAGCCAGCACAAAAGCTTGGGACTCGTTTGTGAGAAAACTGAGAGGTTACCAGTTACCAAGCGAGCCAAACTCGAGTCTTGACTGACGTCCAAACATTGCTTTTTGACAGATAGTTTTCCGATTGATGCACAGTCGATCCTCAGCCCGCCCGAAAAATGATATCGTAAAGGCGAATGGGAATTTCCGGTTTACTGGGACGCGGACTGACTGGGATGTGAAAATTTTCAAGAGAGGCTCGAGTAGTCGTAGGAATTCAGTGATGAGCAAAGGGTCCTGCTTTGGCGTAGAGAGGCTTGCATTTGTAACTGTGAGTCGCCGTAATATCTCGATATTCACTCGAGTCCTCGTCACCGTGGACGAATATGTCTACAGTTTTATGGTAGAAAGTGACTTAATGATTCGAGGTCTTGATTGCCCCTGGGTAAAGGACCAGAAACAGCCATGAGGTAAACGAGAAGGCCGAAAGACATCATCTGGAGAGTTGACTGGCGTGCTCGAGGATGAATTGGGACGGACGATCCGAAGATGACTTCCCTGGTTGACAAGATTCAAAGTCGAACGTTGTTGCCGTTGTCTGCCAAATGCGAGTGACCCAACCAGCCCCCATCTGGATTAGCTGTGTGCCCCGGGCAGGTGGAGTCGATAGTGAGGGCGGCACTGCCTGCCAGGGCCGCGGATCAAGGGTGGATGCGGGGTTGGCGCCGTGGTTGCGTGGGCCGTGGGGGAAGTTGTTTAGCGAGGTAGGGATATCACATTCACTGTCCTGGCTGTGAGTTTCGAGCATGATATTCGTAGAGCTCTCTGAAAGAGACACCTAGGAAGCCAAACGGCCTTTACGCGAAATGATGTTATTTGAGACATATAACGGCGAAACTCAGCATCGAGTAACCTCAATCTCAAATTCTCCCGGTGGGCCGCTCTCGTCGTGTTTAGCACGAACCATCCACAGTCTGATTATGAATTCCGATGCTCTCAAAATACTGAAGCTCGAGAGGGCAGTTTTGAGAGAGGAGGCAAGTGCTCAGCTCTCATCACAGCCTCTCAGCTTTCCAACCTTCGAGCTGTTAACTAAAGTACGCCAAGAATCCCAAATGACAGGGGCTCTCATCCCTGTCAGCGCTACCATCACCGTCGTCGTCCAGGTCCCATTGTTACGCCGTACGCCTGGATTGTGGTCCGTGCACCGTGCCCTTGGAGATTGCTCCGGGCGAAGCGCTTCCCAGATCCAACCTCAACCTCATTGACCTGGCACACACGAGCCGACCAACATTCAAGTTGGACGATCTCCCTTTGCATCCAGATATTGCTCGAACCTCCACCGCGACTGGGCAGGAAGAACCTGATATCTCATGGGGGCCGGATTGAGTTGCGATACACCCGCCTGGCTCCCGACGAGCTGCGGCACTGAACAATCAAGTTGCGAATGCGCCCAAGTTTCAAACCCCGACAAGTTGTCAGACCAGACGCCAGACACGAAAATCCGAAGCTTCCAACCTTGTGTTTTCAGTCCTCTTACTGAAACCTTGTGTCGATGATAAGTATGAGGAACCGCATATAAGGGCTTTTATGATTTACCTCGAGAATAAGAGGGAGCCGCTGGCAGGGAGACGAGTGCAGGGCGGGGATGCCAGGATTTCCCATCACCAACTCACCATCCATCCTGTCGCCGTTGGATGTGAGCAATGTCCAAAAATGGGACAAAGTTTGCTCTATCCAAGTTTGGTTTTCTGAACAAGCCGAGTCTAGCCTAGTGCTACACTTAGTTGCGTACAACTACGTACATATGAACAAGTGGACGGACGGTATGGATTGCACTCCCGTCGTCGTTTGCCCCCAAATCCCGAGTTTCGTGTCTTTTTTGTTACTGATCACAACCCTTTTCCCTTCTCCTTTGCCCCCTCTTTGCGCCGTTCCCAGGCTCAGCCAGGCAGTCCCAGAAAACCAACAGGCGAGCCTGGGCTCTCCGTCCCGGACGCCTCTTGGGATCTCATCGTCTTGGCATCGTGATGTCTGATATTAGCTCCCATTTTACCGTGGAAAAAGCAACCATGGCTGCGGGAGTAAACAAGGTGGGAAGTCACAAAGGCGATCGTTCCGTTTGGTTGACTTCGATTCCCAGTGGGCTCTATGGGCAAGGCTTTCTTTTTCGAACTGCTTGCCTCCCAGGTTATGGCCCATGACATTGGTCCGGTTCTCAATTACACCAAGTGCAAATGCACGCGATGTTATAGTGTTTGATTCGTCTCTCCTGTTTTCCAGCTGTTATGGCCTTATGAGTTATGACACTATCATACACTATCACCCCCTTCCTTTATTTTTTCTCCGTCTCTCCTTCCCTGTTTTACAGTGTGGGTGGGTAGCTTCCTTCCATCCCAAAAGTGATTTGGGATGTGATGTTGAGTCGCACTTTCCCTTGTTATATCCCTTGCTCAGTAGACGACCCCTTCCCCCTCCTCTTTCACTTAGCCATATTTTCTTCTTTAAATGCTCCAACAACCACTCATTTTGGGCACAAAGGAAAACCGTTGACCTTGATGGTTTTCTTTTTCTCCATTGTGGTTCCGAGCCAGCCCCTTATATGACCTCGCCTCCCCTTCCACTCGACCTCTCACGGGGTTGACTCTGCTGCTCGAACGAAGAAGCGAGTTTAGCGTCATCTGGGGAACACAACAAGTCTAAGACCAACCTGACTTTCTTTCCAGTTTGTCTCAACTGCCGAGCAACACAGCTAGCTCCTACCACTAGGAGGACAACAAGCAAGACCGCCGCTGTTTTCCTACTCCTGTGGTGTAATCGAAACACTACACTTCCAAGTCGTTGTACGATCACCGTCATACCAAACCGGAATGACCATCCACACCAAATCCGCAACACCGTACTACCGGCACTCGACCACCAGGCCTTCGTCTCAGTAACATTTCATCCGCGCCTCACCTGCCGTTCACAAAGATCTCAAACTCGCAATAGACCCTTCAGTCTCGCACAAAACTCACCCCTCCTTGCCAATTCTTCCATGTCTTTCCGTGGAGAGTTTTATTCACCATCCCGAACTTGAATCCAAACACCTTCAGAAACCTACCCTTAGCTACTCGGTTCCTGACAGAAGTTAATCCAAAACAACCTCTTCCTTGCCGGTGCGCAGCTTTGCCTACCCCGGGGCAACCTCGGATTGACCGCTATCACCTTGTCATATCACCCATCACTACAATCAGCACAATGGCGATGGGAATCGACCGCCTCGAGAAGAGACTGGACAGGTTGGAGAGGTTTTTTCCACAGAAAGAGGAAGCTGTCTCCGCGGAACTCGACGATTATCGAGAGTGGATCGCTTTCACACTCGGCGTCAACTCCAACTATCCAACAATTTCCAACACCGTCCTTCATCAGACCGACCTCAACTCGCATGCTGGCCAGGGAGGAGGTGACCTTGACGTCCCAGTGTGCCCGACGTACCAAGAGCCTCCCCGACTCCCCAAGTGATTCTCATAGTGCATCCTTTTCGACTTTCGAGCATGGATCCAGAACGGGATTCACTCCCAGGCGTCGCATTCAGGGCCCTTCGGTACCTCAGCGGTCTTCTTCTCTGGTCAGCAGACAAAAGGATGCCTCTTTAGCGGAGCTCCTCGAGTTTAGCTTCTCAGGTCGCTCTACAAAGAGCCATGATGAGCTATCTGCTTTATCCATGCGCCGCTCGAGGTCTGGTCACAAGTCACCTTCACGCTCGACTTCTATATCGATTTCCCCGAGAGCGCAGCCACGCAGAAAACGCAATCCTGATCTACACATCCACACACATCTACAAACCCCTCCTCCGTCCGCGCAGCAAGATAAATCTTTTGATTCAATGCTCTCTTTGTCGTTGACGTCTCTTTCGCACGGGCAACTTACTCCGGCCGCCTCTCCAAGGCTTATCCCGCTCCCTGCTCCAGAGCCAAACGAGCTACATGAGATTCCTTCGTCACAGCCGGGGAGCCCTCGCAGCCGGACTGTTACTCCTGTCCGCAAAAAGCCCATCTTGGAGTTGAAGACTCCGGCCAGCAGGCTTAGCACGGCGAGGTCGACCCCATCCATCAGGGTCAACACCATCCTTAGGGAGCCCAGCTTCGATGACTTTTTGACCCTCAGCGATGATGATATCGCTGACGAGCTTACCAACGAGCAATTGCTGTCGCAAACAAGTCATATGACATGTTCAGAGCCTTCAAGCAACCATCTGCCTCTGAATCGTCTCGGTTCAATTTTCTCTGCGCACATGGCGCCCGAAAACTACCCCATGCTGACACTTTCCCCGCCTCTGGCCAGCAAGCCTGCTACTATGGCAGCCTTTGAAGCTGCTCGGATTGCGTCAAAATATCACTTTGACCTCGTTTATGTGGTCAACCTGTGGCCCAGTCAGAATGGCTGCAGCCAGCTGAATGGTTTCTCAAAGAGATCATCCATGTCGTCGCTCTCAACATCAACAACCCTTCTCAACTCTCCTTCATCCCCCAGCGCGTCGTTCTCCGCCATGTCGACAGATGACAACACCGGACTGCCGTTTTCGCTAGCTCATGATTTTCGACCTATGACTGGTCGTTTATTAGCAGCGTACGGGCTACACTCTCTCGAGAACCCATTTCGCATCTCAGCACCAACCCACCGAAAGATTCTTGGGTGTAATGAGTGGCTGGAATACCGCAACCCCGATGTGGCTGAAAATGATTTTGCTTTGGGTTATAACTGCTCATTCTACACTGGGTACACTCCGCCGAGGCCTTTCAGCGTGCTTGGTGAAAAAGCAAGCACTAGCAGCGTGAAGAACCACGGGATTGTGTTTGCAGCATATCGCCTGTCGAGCAATGCTGCTGCCAAAACCGGAAGCAGCAAGAAAGAGCTGAAAGAGCTTCGCAATGATGCCGAGTCGCTGGTAAATATGGCACTCGATACTTATATGGATCACAAGAGGGAACGGGGAGACGGGACGTGGAGGTGCACCCTGGATAACGATAAAATCGTGCCAGTGGTCAGTCGACAGTTGCTCGTTCGTTAAGAGCCCAGGATTTCTTATTACGATTTGTCCCTCCAACAGAGAGATGATCATATGTTTGCATTGTTTCCAACATGCCGGAGGCTGAAAAGCGTTTATCCTGATCTTGGGGAGTGTTGAGGACTTACTTGTTGGAACTCATATCCTTTCTGCTCATTTACGCAAGATCATTTCCCTGGTAGGCAGTTCACTGGGGCATGAGGTTACGGAAAACTAAAAGGGCGGAAGGGCGCAGGCATGCATGTATGAATGAAGAGATATGATGTTCGATACCCAATCAAATGTAATGAATAGTTAATCAGAAGCCATGTATTAAATAACCACCTAGCAATGTTTATACCGATGGAGATGTTATTCAAGCAAAACGTGCTCTACCTAGATTAACTTTTCCTTGCCAAAAAACTGATATACGAACATGAAGGCTCTGTTGGTTGGTATCCCTAAAGCCCCAAGTATATTGAACAATGCGAAAGAAAACAGACAGTTAGAAAAACAGACGGATCATTACAAGCCAACCTTTCCCTTTACTTCTTAGCCACCTTCTTCTTCTTGTCGCCACCCTTCTTCGGCGCGGGGGCGGCGGCCTTGGGCTTCTCCTCAACCTTCTTGGTGACCTTCTCGACGACCTTCTTGGTAGTCTTGACGGCGGTCTTGGTCTTGGCAGACTCATCAACCTTCTTCTCCTCAACGACCTCGAGCTTCTCAATCTTCTCCGTCACCTCAGCCGCACCCTCGGTCTTCTTCTCAACCTCACCCTCAGCAGCCTTCTCAGCCTTTTTGGCAGCAGAAGGCTTCTTGAGAGCCCTAGGATCCAAACCTCTCCTGCGCATGGCGTTACGCTTGGCGCGCTCCATGTACTCCTTATCCTCGCCGTCGTCGAAGCCGGAGCCGAAGTCGTCCTGGGCCTCGCCCTCGGCGCCGATGGGCGTTTTGTCGACGACCTCCTCCGATTCCTTGAGGGTTTCGCCTTCGAGGGGCTTGTTGGACTTGTCGACGCCATTGGCGCGGACGGCGTTGGCGGGGGTGGGGCCGAGTTTCTGGAATTTGGCGACGAAGAAACCGTCGACTTTACGGGATGTCAGTCATTATATATGGAATGGAGGAGCCATGGGAGGGGGCTGTGGAGAAGAGAACGTACCGTTGTAAAGATGGGGGTAGTATCTGCGGGTCAGCTTGAGGCTGGGGTGGAACGACTTGCCCATGAAGCTGGTGAAGCCCTCCTTGCCGAAGGCCAAGCCAGTCTCAACGAGCTTGACGTTGGGGCGGCGGCTGAGCGCATAGGCGACGACTTGCTCGTTTTCCTCAACGGCAACGGAACAGGTCGAGTAAACAACGTAGCCACCGGTCTTGCTGGCATGGTCTACCGAGTCGATAGCAGCCAGGAGAAGCTGCTTCTGGAGGTGGGGGAGCTGCAAGAAATCCTTCTCGTCTCTGTTGGTCTTGACGGAGGGATCCTTGGCGATGACACCAGTACCCGAGCAAGGGGCATCGAGCAGGACCCTGTCGAAGCCGCCCATGACCCTGGGGAACTCACGCGCATCGTAGTTGCATACGATGACGTTCCTCGCGCCCAGTCTGTGAATGTTACCGATCAAACCCTTGGCACGCTGCTTGCTGGGATCGTTGGCGAAGATAACACCCGTGTTCTTCATCAACGCCGCCATGTGGGTGGTCTTGCCACCGGGGGCAGAAGCCATATCGAGAACGCGCTCGCCCTCCTGGGGGCAGAGAGCCATCACGGGCAGGAACGAAGACGCGGCCTGGAGGATGTAGTGACCGGCCAAGTATTCGGGGGTGGCACCGAGGGGAACACTTTACACACACACGAGTTAGCTATCTGAACCCGTGAGCTCTTGGAGGTGTTGATTTGGGGTATACGTACTTCGAGTCAAAGACTTGCAGACCAACCTTGGACCACTTGCCAACGGGCTCGAGTGTGACACCACGGTTGATGAGCGCTTGGGCAAGATCGCGACGATGTGTTCGGAGGGTGTTTGTGCGGATAACGACGGGGCGAGCGCTCTCGTTGGCTTCGAAAAAGGCGAACGCCTCTCTGGGAGGGAACAAGTTGCTACAAACAGTTAGTCCGTTTTCCCACTGTTGGTATCGTCGCAGATGGGCATGCGACATGTGAGTAAAACATACAAAAGCTTCTCAGCAAGGAACTCGTTGTAACCGTAGTCTGACAAATCCGGACGTTAGCAATTGTGCATTTTGAGAGAAGTGCTGTGCTAGGAGTATCGGATCCTTACAGGCGCAGATGTCCTTGATGAGTTGGCTGGTGTACTCAGCACGGCTCTTGCCCTCTTCCGCCAAACTCGAAAAGTCGTCCAGGACACGGATGGCGTCTGTTATCCTCGTCCTCAGCATCTGGAGATCGGGCGCCAGCAGAGTCTTGGTCTTGGGCTTAAGTTGATCGTCGTCGTCCTCGAGGTCATCACCGCCCTCAATGTTGGTCTGGAGAGCTTCGTCGCGCATTTCGGCCTCGTTCTCTTCCGCCTCCTTCTCTCTTTGCAGATCCAGTTTCCTCGAGAGACCCTCGATGTTGGCGGCTGTGAGCTTCTCCTCTCTATCCTCCTCATCATCCTCATCATCTGAGAAGACGAATGCCTCCTTCTTAGCAACGGGGTCCTGGTCGGAATCGTAAACAGAGTCGTCGTCGGTGCCGAGGAAGTCGTCTCCTAGCTTCTGAACGTCCATATCATCGCCATCGAGGTCCTCCAGGTCGAACTCGTCGCCCATTTCCTCATCATCATCAAGCGAAGCCTTCTTGGACTTCTTGGACACCTTGGTCCTGTGGTCGGGCTTGGTGGCGGCCTTCTTGACGGGCTTTTCCTCCTTCTTGGCACCCTTGACGGCGACAGTGTTGGAACCGGATTTCTTGGGCTGCTTCTTGACAACTTTTTGCTTCTTGGATCTTCTGGTGTCTTCGCCGGCGGTAGGGTCGTCAAAGGGAAGGCCCTTCTTGCGCTTGAGGTTGGCGAAGTGCTCCTCCGAGAGAGGCTCGGGAGGGCCCTGTTTTTGCATGCGACGTCCGACACCCATTTTGGCGGTATTGCTGGAAGTCTGGTGGTAATTGAATTGGGATGGTTGTTGATGTTGGATGAACACTGACAGGTAATAGCCCACCACTGACAACTGAAGCGCCTGTGGATATTTCTCCGGGTCGATTTTCTTTTCTGAAAAAGCTTATCGATAAGAAAAGCCAAGCAACCTGGTCCCACTGTGTCCCCAAAAGGTGGGCGATTGGTCAAATACCCCACAATGGTCAGGCTAGGCCCAGTTCAGAATCCCTGCATTGACAGCTGACGTTACCCTGGAACTTGGCTGTCCTGGAGTTGGGGACAGCTGGAGCATGAACGGCCTGGGGAAAGTGGAAGTGGAAGGACCGACTGACGGAGCTCTCAGGAGGCGGGCAATGCGGGCAACGGAAGGTGGAAGAAAGGTCCCGTCGATGAAGCGGCCAATTCGCCGGAACGACAACTTCGGCTTGAAGCGGAGGGGGCATTGGCCCCGGGCAGGCACCTACCGCCTTCTAGGCGCACCCGACGACGCAGGGGGGAAGCACTGGATGGAGCCGGCGCCGGTAGGCGGTGGATGCCCCGGCCGCGAGGTTCCGTGTTAACACATCACTCAAAAGCAGCCCGGCAGGTAACCAGAAAGGTACCTCTGCACCAAACGGCTGCAGCATGTACAAACACACAGAGGCATTACACCTCACCACCTACCTACCTTTCATCTTTTTGCTGTACCTTACCTTTCATCCATCACCGTAGTAACTGTAAATAACTCGAACTTCATCTCGTCTCGCTCGCCTTCAACAACCGCGATCCTTCTTCTCTCTTCCGCTGGAGCATTGACGTAGTACCTCAGGTACCTACCTATTTAACAGAGCGGCAAATCACGATTCTCTCACCCACAGTTTGGCAGGCGAGTTTTACTGCGTACCTTCCACCTGGCAATACCTACCTTTCAGTACCTTACCTCGCGTGCCTACCTGTACCGACCTCCTCCTGCCTTCTGGACGTTACGTTAATCCCGTCCTTCCACCTGTTTGCACTTCCACCTCCTACCTGATTCATCCCCTCCCCCATTTCTCGGGAGCTCGGTCATTTTTCCCCAAGTACAACCAACCACCACCACCGCCTCCTTTCACGTCGCCGCCATTCCATTCAGTCCGCGGAGCTTCACGAGCTTCCCTTTCCCTCAATCTTTCTACTTCCTAGCGAATTCAACATCCAGCCGCTTTTGATAAGTTGGCTGCTAATTTTCGTCACTCCGCGCGCAGCTTAGCGCAACACCACCGCCCATCATGGCTCAGGCCCTCCCCATCAAATTCCAGGAGCTGCTGCAGCTCAGCGCCCTTGGCATCAACCAGACCGCCATCACCTTCAACACCTGTGTACGTTGTTCTCACCTTGCTCTGACCCTGCTGCCGACAGGTGATGCCTGTCGCGCTTCCTCTGGCGACCCCTACTGACGTGACTCCCCGCGCTCCCACAGACCCTAGAATCGGATAACTGGGTGTGTATCCGCGACAAGAAGGACGAGGCCGCGTCCCCTGAAGTCATCATCGTCGATCTCAAGAACGGCAACAATGTTATCCGACGTCCCATCAAGGCCGACAGTGCCATAATGCACTGGTCGCGCCAAGTAATTGCCCTCAAGGCTCAAGCGCGCACCCTCCAGATCTTCGACCTCGAAAACAAGGCCAAGCTCAAGTCGACAAACATGAGCGAGGATGTCTTGTTTTGGAAGTGGATTAGCGAGACCACGCTTGGTTTGATCACAGATGGCTCTGTCTACCACTGGGATGTCTTCGACCCGAACCAGCCCGCTCCGGTCAAGGTCTTCGATCGTAATGCTAATCTCCAGGGCAACCAAATAATTAATTATCGGACCAGCGCCGACGGAAAGTGGATGGTTGTTGTCGGTATCTCACAACAGCAGGGCCGCGTTGTCGGCGCTATGCAGCTTTACTCCAAAGACCGCGGTATCAGCCAGGCCATTGAGGGTCACGCCGCCGCTTTTGGCACTCTCCGGCTAGAGGGCGCTCCAGAGGACACCAAGGTGTTTACCTTTGCGGTCCGTACCGCCGTCGGCGCAAAGCTTCACATTGTCGAGGTCGACCACCCCGAAACAAACCCCGTCTTCCCCAAGAAGGCCGTGGACGTCTTCTTCCCTCCCGAGGCGAGCAATGACTTCCCCGTCGCCATCCAGGTTTCGCAAAAGTACGGCATCATCTACCTTATCACCAAGTACGGCTTCATCCATCTCTACGACCTCGAAACCGCCACATGCATCTTCATGAACCGCATCTCCAGCGATACCATTTTCACCGCTTGCGGTGACAAGGATTCGACCGGTGTCATTGGCATCAACCGCAAGGGACAGGTTCTCTTCGTCAGCGCTGATGAGAACACGATCGTGCCCTACGTCCTCGAGGCACACGGTAACGAGCTCGCGATCAAGCTGGCTTCTCGTGCAGGGCTCCCCGGTGCCGATAACCTCTACCAGCAACGCTTTGAGCAGCTCTTCAGCAATGGTAACTACCAGGAGGCCGCCAAGGTAGCTGCCAACTCTCCTCGGGGTTTCCTTCGCACTCCTCAGACCATCGAGCGCTTCAAGCGTCTTCCCCAGCAGCCCGGTCAGATGTCGCATATTCTGCAGTACTTTGGCATGCTTTTGGACAAGGGTTCGTTGAACGAGCACGAGACTATTGAGCTTGCCATGCCCGTCCTTGCCCAGAACCGCAAGCAGCTGTTGCAGAAGTGGCTCAGCGAGAACAAGCTCGAGTGCTCCGAGAGGCTCGGTGACATGGTCCGCCCTCATGATATCAACATGGCGCTTGCCATCTACCTGAAGGCCAACGCTCCCCATAAGGTCGTCGCTGGATTCGCCGAGACCGGCCAGTTTGAGAAGATCCTTCCCTACTGCAGTCAAGCCAACTACCAGCCTGACTTCATTCAGCTGCTCCAGCATATTGTCCGTGTTAATGCCGAGAAAGGTGCTGAGTTCGCCACAACACTTGCCAATCACGAGGGTGGTCCGCTGGTCGATTTTGAGAAGGTGGTTGACATCTTCCAGTCTCAGGGAATGATCCAGCAAGCGACTGCCTTCCTTCTCGACGCTTTGAAGGATAACAAGCCTGAGCACGGTGCCCTTCAGACTCGCCTGTTGGAGATGAACCTTCTCAACGCCCCTCAGGTTGCCGACGCCATTCTTGGCAACGACATGTTCTCCCACTTCGACAAGGCGCACATTGCGCAGCTCTGTGAGAGCGCAGGTCTTTTGCAGAAGGCCCTGGAGCTCTATGAGGATCCTGCGGCCGTCAAGCGGGTGATTGTCAACATCCCTGGAATGCCCAACTACAACGCTGAGTGGTTGATCGAGTATTTCAAGGCGCTGTCTGTTGAACAGTCGCTTGACTGCCTGGACGCCATGATGAAGCACAACATTCGCCAGAACCTTCAGACTGTCGTTCAGATCGCAACCAAATACGCGGAGCTCCTTGGCGCACAGCAGCTGATTGACCTGTTTGAGAAGTACAAGACCTTTGAGGGTCTCTACTACTTCCTTGCCAGCATCGTCAATGTCACCGAGGACCCTGAGGTTGTGTTCAAGTACATTGAGGCTGCCACCAAGATGGGACAAATCCGTGAGGTCGAACGTATTTGCCGCGACAACAGCGTCTACAACCCCGAGAAGGTGAAGAACTTCCTCAAGGAGGCCAAGCTCACCGAGATGCTTCCTTTGATGGTTGTCTGCGATCGCTTCAACTTCGTCCATGACCTGGTTCTCTATCTGTACCAGAACCAGCAGTTCAAGTCCATTGAGATCTACGTGCAGCAGGTCAACCCGAGCAGGACCCCTGGTGTCATCGGAGGCCTCCTCGATGTGGACTGCGATGAAAGCATCATCAAGAATCTCCTGAGCACTGTCAACCCCGCATCTATCCCTATCGATGAGCTGGTGCAGGAGGTTGAGACTCGCAACCGCCTCAAGCTTCTCTTGCCCTTCCTGGAGGCTACCCTGGCTGCCGGTAACACGCAGCAGGCTGTCTATAACGCTCTCGCCAAGATCTACATTGACTCCAACAACAACCCTGAGAAGTTCCTCAAGGAGAACGATCAGTATGATACTCTCACCGTCGGAAAGTACTGCGAGAAGCGAGATCCCAACCTTGCCTACATTGCCTACCGCAAGGGCCAAAATGATCTCGAGCTCGTGAACATCACCAACGAGAACCAGATGTATAAGGCTCAGGCCAGGTATCTTTTGGAGCGCGCTGATAGGGAACTCTGGATGTTTGTGCTCAGCGAGAACAACGTCCACCGTCGTTCTGTCGTTGACCAAGTCATCTCGACCGCTGTTCCTGAGTCGACTGATCCCGCCAAGGTTTCTGAGGCTGTTACATGCTTCCTTAACGCCGACTTGCCTGGCGAGCTCATCGAGTTGCTGGAGAAGATTGTCCTGGAGCCGTCACCTTTCAGCGACAACCAGAACCTGCAGAACTTGCTCATCTTCACTGCTGCTAAGGCCGACAAGGCGCGTGTGATGGACTACATCCACAGGCTCGACAACTTCGCCGCCGATGAAATTGCCGCTGTCTGTATTGAGGTTGGCCTTCACGAGGAGGCTTTCGAGGTCTACAAGAAGATCGACAACAAGGAGGCCGCTGTCAATGTTCTTGTTGAGCACGTTGTCAGCATTGACCGTGCTCAGGCATACGCTGAGGAGGTTGATATTCCCCAGGTTTGGAGCAAGGTTGCCAAGGCTCAGCTCGATGGTCTCCGCGTCAGCGATTCCATTGACTCCTATATCAAGGCCGAGGACCCGAAGAACTACGAGGAGGTGATCGAAATCGCCGTTGCTGCTGGGAAGAATGAAGAGCTCATCAAGTACCTCCGCATGGCCCGCAAGACCCTGCGCGAGCCTGTTATTGATACAGCTCTTGCTTTCTGCTACGCCCGCCTGGATCAGCTTCCTGAGCTTGAAGAGTTCCTTCGCGCTACCAACGTTGCCAACGTCGAGGAGTCCGGTGACAAGGCGTACGCTGAGGGCTTCTTTGAGGCGGCCAAGATCTTCTACACCAGCATCTCCAACTGGGCCAAGCTTGCCACCACCCTTGTCCACCTTTCCGATTACCAGGCGGCTGTAGATTGCGCCCGCAAGGCCAACAACATCAAGGTCTGGAAGGAGGTCCATGAGGCCTGCGTCAACAAGAAGGAGTTCCGTCTCGCTCAAATTTGCGGTCTCAACCTCATTGTCGATGCCGAGCAACTCCAGGCTCTTGTCAAGCAGTACGAGGCAAACGGCTACTTTGACGAGCTTATCAGCTTGCTCGAGCAGGGTCTTGGTTTGGAGCGCGCCCACATGGGAATGTTCACCGAGTTGGGTATTGCTCTCTCCAAGTATCACCCCGAGCGTCTTATGGAGCACCTCAAGCTCTTCTGGAGCAGAATGAACCTCCCCAAGATGATCCGCGCTTGCGAGGAAGCTAACTTGTGGCCTGAGCTGGTCTTCTGCTACTACCACTACGACGAGTTTGACAATGCTGCTCTCGCCGTTATGGAGCGCCCTGAGAACTCTTGGGAGCACCAGCAATTCAAGGAGATCACTGTCAAGGTGGCCAACCTTGAGATCTACTACAAGGCCATCAACTTCTACCTGGAGCAGCATCCCTCTTTGCTCACCGACCTTCTCCAGGTATTGACCCCGCGCATCGATGTCAACCGTGTTGTCCGCATGTTCCAGAAGTCCGACAACTTGCCCCTCATCAAGCCTTTCCTCCTCAGCGTCCAGTCTCAGAACAAGCGTACCGTTAACGACGCCATCAACGATCTTCTCATTGAGGAGGAGGATTACAAGACTCTCCGCGACTCTGTGAACAACTATGACAACTACGACGCCGTGGAACTTGCTGGTCGTCTGGAGAAGCACGATCTTGTCTTCTTCCGCCAGATTGCTGCAAACATCTACCGCAAGAACAAGCGCTGGGAGAAGTCCATCAACCTTTCCAAGCAGGATAAGCTTTGGAAGGATGCGATTGAGACGGCCGCTATCTCTGGCAAGACCGAAGTCGTCGAGGAGCTTCTGCGCTACGTAAGTTTCTTCCTAACTCATCGGGTTTCGTCGCCTTTTCTTACTGACATTTCTCTCTCTAGTTCGTCGACATTGGCAACCGCGAGTGCTACGTTGGCATGCTTTATGCCTGCTACGATCTTATCAGGGCCGACCTTGTCCTCGAGCTTTCTTGGCGCAACGGTCTCCATGACTTCACCATGCCTTACATGATCAACATGCTTTGCCAGCAGACCAAGGAGCTTGCTTCTCTGAAGGCCGACAACGAGGCTCGCAAGGCTAAGGAGCAGGAGAAGGAGAAGGTCGAGGACAACACGCCCATTCTTGGCAACCGACTCATGATCACTGCCGGTCCCGGCCAGGCATCACCGGCTCCTTACGGGCAGACCAATGGTTTGCGCCGCAGCCTACCGGATTTGGCTTCTAGAGGGCTGCCTTGGTGGCAGCCCCGTTAATCCATGATCCCGTAATGGATCGCTGGTTTCTTCCTGTTCACAACAGCGAATACCAGCAGGATTTTGGAGTTTCAGTGACCCCCAGAACGGGTCCTGTTAATGTCATTCCGCTCGGCCCTTCTGTAGCGGTTGACAATCTTGATAATATGCCACGATTTCGATGACCTGGAGGACGACACAACCCATGCAGATGAGATGTAAATGACTTTTTCGCATGTCTGTGGGATTGAAAAGGGGAAACGAAAGAGGAGACGGGTTGGCAGGGTTTATTGCTTTTCATGTTGGCCAGATCGTTAGAACTTCGTGGTTTTGTTCAAATTTCATGTATGATATCTTATTTCCATTATCAGAGCGCTTTAACTTAATCGACTTCTGATTCCTAGATATTTTTGATTCGACGTGCCATGTTTCATGTGGTTCACATCTAATATCTTATTGTTACTGAACTGCGAAGGGAGATCCTGGGACCTAACATATTCCGCAATCTTCCCAAACAACGAAACCTAAACCGAATATTCTTGACTGAGGGTGCTTGGTGTACCAAACAAATGAAGATGATTTCGCGGACTGACCCCTTGGCGGATATTGTCATCCATGATATTTCCCGATCTGGAGACTAGAGGTATCATTACGGTTGCCAGGTAGCCAGGCAGTGGCAATCATGGTGTTGTCTATGCTTTACCTCAGGTGACAGTGATTTGACAGCCCCTTGGCGCTTCCGCCGCCTCAAGACATCGTGAGATTGTTCCTCCTCCGCTCTTTGCGTAGGTAGTTGCAGTCAGAGACGGTGTATACCATCGTTTAGTCTGTAGAGCCTGCTCCTCGGCACATGTGGTAATCCGCTCCAGTCCAGATGCCTCGAGTGTTCGTATCTGACAGTTGTGGTGACAGGCAGAGAACATTCAGCATCACTCGAGAGCCACCGAACTTGTGGAAGAGATGTCGCTTCTTTGCGGTGTTGTCTGCTTACGTCAACGGATACATCGCAGACAAACCACCTACGGAGAAGCCATGTAGCGCCAGATGCTGATGATTTCTGGGGGGTTGTCCAGGTTCTACAACAGTAGACTAAGTGTAATCGATCATTAGAGAAGCCAAGAGAAGAGATCTCCAATCACATATGTTCAAGAAAGGTATAACCGATCACTCGAGAGGCCAGCCAAAAGGGAACAAATCCCATCACAGAAAGTTCAGGAGAGGTAGGGTAAGCCGGCATAACGCCGGTCGGTCTCTGAGGCCGCAGCTCGACTGTAGATTCAGATCAAGCTAGATTGACGAAATCGCCAATGAGAGGTATCATGGTTGCATCTACAAATCCTGGGTTTGGTGTTTTCCCTCCGAAACCAGTTCCAAAAGAATCTTCCACCCACAGAAAGCCCAGTAGTTGCCGCCGAGCTCGAAACTTCACTAGTCGTCGAGAAGCGGGTGCCCTCAGATCCTTTTCCCATGCTTCGTCAAACTAAAACGCACCCATCCTTTTCAGGAAGAAGGGGGCAATTTAGCGGACGATGGCATCGAAGCGAGACTTGAACCACTTGACGGTGTCGTCGCGGTTGATGCGGTGGGTGGCACCGACTCTGCTCTTGGCGCGGCGGCGGCGAGAGACGCGCTCACCGGGGCGGGTCATGCAGCAGTAGAAGTCCATGCCGTAGATACCGATACCGGGGTCGTACTTGATGCCGAGATCGATGTGCTCGGAGATACCGAAGCCGAAGTTGCCAGTCTCGGAGAAGTTGCGCTTGCGGAGCTCGTACTCCTTGACCTTGAGGCCACGCTCGAGAATCTCCTCGGCCTTGGGGCCACGGACGGTGACGTGGACGGAGATCTTTTCGTTACGGCGGATACCGAAGGTACGGACGGTGTAACGGGCCTTGCCTGGTTGGTGGGGAGAGACGTGTTAGGTTTCCATCATTTCTTCGCTTCAAGACGTCGACTTTCTTCTGGTGATTTGAGCGTCGTTGAAGACAGTCGTCAGGTCGTCGAGAAATCGGTTAGAACTTACTGTAGACGGGGGTTTGACCGGACAGCTGCTCAAGCACCTTGGCGGCACGAGTAAGTCTGTCACCAGACTCGCCAACGCAAATGTTGAGGACGAGCTTCTGGATGCGGAGCTCCCGCATGGGGTTCTGGGCCTTCTGTTCGGTAGACTTCACATTTCCCGTTAGTTGGTGATCCCAAATATCACGAATTGATGGCTATCGCCTACCATGGTGCCGGTGTTGTGTCGAAATCCGCCGTAAAGGAAACTTGACCGTCGCGATGCTCGGGAGATTTGCGTAGGCGGTTGACGATTTTTGTTCAGCAATTTTGAGATTGTGGGCACCAGGGATGTGGGGTCCACCCTCACCTGCCGGACACTTGGCGAACCGGCAGGCAATTTGAGAGGATAGTGAAGCTGCGCAAGCCTAGAACTGTGGGAGAAGTCTTGGCACGCAATCGTTGCACTGGTGGGTCTGTGCGTGCCTGCCTGGTGGACCGGGCGAGACGCTTGTGGTGAGTTCTCAGCCTCGCGCCTTGGAAAACCGAATTGACCTGATTTCATCCATCCAACCACACGCGACTCTGAAGCCTCCCCGCGAAGAGCTGTTGAGAACGCGACGACGAAGTTTAAGCAACTTTGTCGAGAAACCAAAAGGTTAATTTTTGTACCACTTCAAAAAGCTACTCTGTAGCAAACATCTGCAAAGATGGCGTCGACCAACAAGCAAGGCAAGATGGTAAGTCATCGTTCTCCAATCCCTTCTGCTGCTTGACGTATCAATGTTGACGCCAGACAACTGACAAGGTGCGATATCACAGGCCGGTTACGTACGTACTCCCACGCTTTCAGTTTACGATCGATCTCGAATACCAACGACGAAACGAAGAACTGACGGTTTCTATTCCAACAGATCAACTACCGGATGCGTGTCACTCTTAACGATGGCCGCCAGATGACCGGACAGATGCTTGCCTTCGATAAGGTATGATACGACCGATACCTATTTGGTATGATCTTGTCTCAATGCTAACATGTTGGTAGCACATGAACCTCGTTCTCGCCGATGCCGAAGAGTTCCGTCGTATCAAGCGGAGACAAACAAGCCCGCTGCCCCTGGCTCGTCTGCCCCCGCCGCCCAGACTGTCGAGCAAGAGGAGAAGCGCACATTGGGTCTTACCATCATCCGTGGCGCCCATATCATTTCGCTCTCCGTCGAGTCGCCTCCCCCCGCGGACCCCAGCGCTCGTCTTGGAAAATCGACTGGTGGAGGACTTGCTTCCGCACTCCAGGCTGGTCCTGGTGTTGCTAGACCTGCTGGACGCGGTGCTGCCGCTCCTATCTCGCTCGCTGGACCCGCCGCTGGTGTTGGCGGCGCTGCACCTCCCCCTCCATTCCCCGGCTTCCCCGGTGCTGCACCCCCCGGTTTCCCCGGTCGTGGTGGCCGTAAGTTATCCTTTTTAAACTTATCTGTGTCTTAGTCGCTAATACTTTTATCAGCTCCTCCTCCCGGTTTCCCCGTTTTCCCTCCTGCCGCTGGCTTCCCCGGTGCGCCCGGCTTCCCCCCTTCGTTCCCTCCTCCGGGCGCTGGTGGCCCCGCTGGCTTCAACCCGCCCCCTCGCAGATAAAGAGGTTGACCGTTCGACTTTACGATTAATTTACCGATCCAATCCGATGGTGTATTATGTCCGAGACATGCTAGAACTCCCCTGCATAAAGCGGGCTTGGATGAAAGCAAATGAAGCTCTGCCCTGGTTTAAGAGGTGTGAATTTTTATGCTGGCGTTTAGGGGTTCAATGAAAACATTTATTTAGAGCGGCACAAACGCCTGCGTTTTCCAAGCATGAATCAGGGATATAGCATTGCAAGAAACATGGCAAATATCAATATACAGATCATGAACATTGGCACCACGTTTAAGAACCAACCTTGTGTCTGCCCCTATTAAAGAGGTACGTATCTCCAATCCATAAGGCTGCCCCACTCCATGACAGTGCCGAGCTGAGCAGCTGGCAGCCTCACCCACTCAGCTGAGTCCCAAGGTGAACGGTGGTGGCTCGTGCTTAGAGCGGACGGAACCCCAACTTTCTTGATTGCATCTTTCGCCGGCTTCGCGGGCCACATCCAATCTCTTTATCAGTGACGCGCCAAAGTCGGTATAAGATCCGTCTAAAAACAGTCAAAATGGCTGCCCTTGTGAAAGCTGTCAATGCGAAGATCAGGTCTCACCCCGTCCTGAACTATGTTTGCTCAACGCGTAAGTCCCCATACCCCAGTTTACCCCAGCCAGATACCTACAGCGACCCGCCTGGTCTTGAGTCGTGATCCTGGACCCCCCGGCCAATCCCCGATAAGTCCGGGGTCCAGCATCATGGTGAAGGATGTCCAGGTAGAACATCACCAAAGACACGGTTCTGTCAGGACGTGCTCTTTGGGGGTTCGATACGGGTATCACAGGTCTTGGAGACCGAGACCGTAGCGCTGCATAAGCTCCCGCAGCATGATGCTTGCCAGGTGAACCCAGTGGAAAAAGAACATACCTTAAACAACAACAAATATTGGACACGCTTGCTGATATATAGATGTACTCTCGTAGATTTCTGGGGCCCTGCCTCCAACTTTGGTATCCCCATTGCGGCTGTGATGGATACACAGAAGAGTCCTGAACTGTGTGTGCCCTTATCTATCAACTACGAACCTCAGCCTGCCTTCTATGTTGCTTGCTCTTCCTTCACGAGCCTTCCAGACAACCTAACCCAATAGCCATGCTTCGTCATAAAACACTCACACACTCACACACTCACTTCGACATGGTGAACCCTGGCCTAACATCATATAGGATCTCTGGCCAAATGACCTTTGCCCTCTGCATCTACTCGGCCACCTTCATGCGCTACTCGCTCGCCGTTCAGCCCAAGAACTACCTCCTGTTCCTGTGCCACGCCGTCAACGAGACGGCCCAGCTGACGCAGGGCTATCGCTACCTGAACTACAACTACTGGGGCGGTAAGGAGAAGGAGGGTCTGAACAACGCGGTGGCTGCGGGCAAGAACGCGGTGGACGCTGGCAAGGAGAAGGCCAGAGAGATTGAGGCCAAGGTCGAGACCAAGGTTAAGGAGGTTGTTGGCAGCAAGTAAGGGGAGGGAGGGCGGGAGAGGTGAAATGAGGGATGGGAGTTGGAGTGAGGTGGGTGAGATGGACGGACTGTTTCCGGTAGGCAGTTCGTCGATGTCCTCACTTCTTTCGCACTTGAAGGGGGGCTTTGAAGATTGTTGGTACGGACCGGATGCGATCAGGTCATAAAAGGGTAATATTAGGACATCAGGGTCCGTTGTCGCTGTCGAGGCTGTCGAAGGTGTGAATGCCGTGATGAAGATGGCCGGGGAGCTGTGCTGTACCTTGCATTTGCGAAGGAACCACGACGGGATCAGAGTCAGATCTGGCATATGAAATTGGTACGGATATTATCATGTGAGACGGCGATGGGTTGAGGAGTAATAGGTACATAGGGAAAACGGGTAATTTTAGGCATTTCTTTCTCGAAGCGATCATCTATATGAACCACTACTTTCGACCTTTTGTCCGTGGAGGTGGAGAGCACTAACGGAAGCCTGGAAGAGGGTTTCAACTCCACAATGGAATGTTGCTGGACTTGGGTGTTGTGGTCCTGTTGCCTCTGGTTCTGGAAGTCATGAGGCTCATCTCATGATGTCCGGTTAAGGAGCGGTGTGATGTATTCTTTTCACACTAAAAGACAAGACTGATGCTTACTTGTGTCTGAACTGCTGTTATTCCGAGGTACAAGTGGATATAGGTAAAACCCAACGAAAGATCCGTGTAAGTCGTCCGGCGGACATTCATTCGTCGTGGGTTTTCGGAACCGACCTCGGCGTAGAACGGTATTCGCAAACCGACGGAGATAGGTACAATGACATTGACATTGATATTGACATTGAGTTAGGGGTTCAAAACAAAGAAAGTACGTAAGTACCGATACCTACCTTGGAACTACAGTAGCCGTGCGAATAGAAAAACGGAATGTTCGAAATTCTGACAGCTGAACTGAACCCCCGAAATCATGGTTCAACAATCGGATTCCCGTGCGTACCGGTATGTAACCGAGGAAGTAGGAAGTGGTGAAACCCGCTCCGGCCCCGCCCGACCACATGTCTGCACGAACCGAAACGTCCCCGCGACATCCCGTTCCCGCCCTTCCCCCATCCGTTCGATGGAACGTTCGGCACGCCCGCAGGGTGAGAGAAACGTGACTAAAAACGGGTTCTTGTTCTGTTTTACCCCATACATACCTGAGTGGGATACAATCCACCTTCCTGAGCCGGCTAAAACCTGGTGGTGATTCTTTTCTTAGCTTGCTCCAAGAATTGCATGTATGGGGCAAGGCGAGCAAGACAAGGACGATCTGCAGGGCTGATTGGGGTTTTTGACAGTTCCTTTTGGCTTGGGTTTTAAGTGATCGGCTTGGGTTACAACTCTTTGGCCAAAGTGGACTTGGAATTGACGTCGTTTTTGTTTCGGGGTAAACTGTCCCAGATGGAAAGGAAGGGGATCACGTTAACGAACAGTCTCCTTGGCTTTGTAGCGGCTAGGGTCTTGTGATCAAGACTAATCTGACTATGTGTAATAAGTTCCTTGGTTATGATGGAATAGTAGCGGTGTCTCGAGCACGTAGCAGTCTAAGAACGGCATATGATGAGTGAGGCTTGTTTGTCGGTGATATGTTGAGGACTCGTGCTTTTGTACCCGGGATAAATATTCCGAACTTCGTTTCTCACAATGTCATAATCCTCGGCTGGTAATAATGGAGGTGTTGGTTCACGCAGAGCACATGTCGAAGGTTATTCATCCACTATCCTGTGCTGGCAAGGGACAAGCAATGTATCTTGGAGATAGGTTGCTGTATACATAGTAATAGTATGTGAAGACATAGCCCTTGGACCTTGATAGTTGATGCTCTGTACAGTAGCATTGCCGTCGGCCGAGCCAATAGGCAATCGTAGATCAGCAACCACCCGCCAAGACTTTGAACGTCCAGTATAAGTGAGAGTTTGGACGACAATAGCTAGGGGATTCGTCAATCGTCGGCCATCAAACCTGTCTAACCTATAGTGAGACTTCCTTTTCCCCAGACGTAACGCTGGAGATCGCCAACAGCCGAAACGTCGATATGAGAACGAAAATCTGTCGTGGTTATCCTCGGTTGTTGATACGAGAACATGAGGAGATCGGTTGCGAGATCTATCAGATGATCTTT